GATCACAACATGATTACTGATACATACATTTGCAAAGTTTCAATGCCATGTGCATATAGTTGCCAATGGATGGAAAAGGATGCACTTATAAGGGGTAAAAAAAGAAACATGAATAACAACAGTAACAACAACAACGACAAGAATAATAATAATATTTCTTATTTAATATTAACTTATTGAAAGAGAAAAAAAATTGAAACAATTATTACGATCCAATATAGGTTTGTTTAGGCTTAATAAAAAAAACAATGAGAATTATGCGTTATATATTTAATAAAAATTTAACCGTTTTTAAAATTATATTATATTATAGGATAATTTTCATATCTGATGACAAAATGTTATGAAAAAAAAAAAAAAAAAAAATATATATATATATAGTACAGATTGCGAGGCACATGCAAAAGGAGATGGCGAGGAGAATATGTGGAAGATGCTTTTTTGGTTTTAAATTAAGAGGATGTTTGGTAGAGGGATTCGTTCTTTGATTCGAATCATGATTCGTGGTTCGTTACAGTATTTTCTCTTACAAAAAATACACGTAAATAAAAAATGGTTCAAATCACATGGTTTGAATCCTCCAACCAAACGTCCTCTAATTGTCTTTCTTAATAAGCTGCTTCCTTTAACATTGTTTTTTCTTCTATAATCTTAGGTCTCATCCTAATTATAAGCTTATAAGCCCCGAATTACACACGTCATTGTCCTAGAAAACTTAGAAAAAAGTTTGTGCGAATCTCATCTCTCAATCTTTTATTTTTATTTTTATTTTTGAAAGGAGAATCTTTTATTTTTAATGTTTGACTAACAATTTTGCTTTAAATGATTATTAATTTCTACAAGTTCATATATATAGATAAATGTTTAACCCTTCAAAAGTAATTAGCATCAATGCTAGCTAGCTCGTTAATGGTTAAACTATATGTATTGTCTTATATTTAATTATTTGCCGTTAATATATAATTATTAGTTATATACCCTAAGATATGTTGACAAGTAAATGAGCTATTGTAATTATTAGTTCAGTATATTTTACATGCTTGGATGATATATGGTGGGAAGCACCATAATTGTCCACTAGATGATCAGTGTCCTATGTATTCAATTTTATCAATTTTTATTTGAATGTGGAGTACAAAATTTTATTAAATTAATTAGCCTTGCAAAAATGACTTATATATACATATTGTATGTATATTAATGGCCTATCCAAAATTATATCTCTGGGCATCACAAAATTATATAGACGGTAAAGATAATGATCCTAATGTCATTATTTTGCAAGTTGCAGCCGAGTAAAGAAAAGGAAAAAAGGTGGCCCAGATTAATTTGCCTTTATTTTATCGTACCATTAATTATTATTGAAGGTTCTTTTAACCGGTCATCATCATCAGCATCATTTTTCAGTTAGTTTTCATTAAATGTCAGATCGGCTGGTTTTATTATGGCCTCGTTCACTTTATAGATTTGAGTTTTCAATTCGAACTGAGATGTGATATTTTTTGAGAGCTTTTCACTGTAGCAGAAAAAATTAAATGTGATATTTTCTGAGAGTTTTTTACTGTAGAAACTTAAAATTGAAAATTCAAATCGGTGAAATGAATGAGACATATATATTAATTTTGTAACGTGATATATATGTATTGTCGTGTTAAAAACACTTAAAAAATTTATTATTTATTTAATAATAAGAAAGTCATTTATATAATAATTTAAAGATCTTTATATTTATTTTAAAAATAAATATGTGTAAAGATAATAATTGATTAAAAAAATTAAGTAAGGACACATTTAAAAAAATATTTTAACTAATTAAAAATAAATAGAAACATATGCAAAAAAGGTTACTATCATAAAAGTAAAGGAACAGTATCTTTTTAAAAAAACACACAAAAAATTAAAATGTAAAAAAATACAAGAAAATAAAAAGAAAAAAGAAAAAAAGAAGTAAGTGGAGGGGTTGCCAAATAGAATAGAGCTTTTGACTCTTTTATATATTGTTAGATGTATAGAGAAAATTAAAAAAAAATAATAGCCAAAAAAAGAGAGAAGAAAAATAAAAAAAAAAGCCAAAAAATAGAAAAAAAAAAGAGAGAAAGTAAAAAAAAAAAATAAAAAAAAGAAAGAAAGAGGAGGCAACATGGAGCCTACATAAAAGCCAATAAATAGCCTCCTTAAAAATCATGTTCTTGACTCTTTTAAATATGTATAGCTAAACTTTTGTCATTTGTATTTTTTTTTTAAATTAAACCTTATGTTTTGAATGGTATCAAACCTTTACAAAACAAATTCATCTTAAATCTTTTCTTTCTGTATTTAATCATGGAAAGACCTAAATATCCTTCAAAATAATCCTTCTTTTTATCTTGATTATTAAGTTTTTGTTGTAAATCAATTACATTGGATGTCATATCTTGATATTCTATAACCTATATAGATATTAAACCATTCATTTAGACCCCATTATTTCCCCTCTTAATATTGTGTATTATTCACCATTATTCCTCTCTTAATTTTGCATGTAACTTATGCCTTCTCCTATGACTACTTAATTTTGCATGTTATGATCCTTAGACTATAAATAGAGGAGGTGTTTGCTTGTATGATCTCCTTACAAGAAAGAATAAAAAGTTTCTTTGTCTCTCATATTTCTCTTATGCTCTTTCTTGTTCTTTTAGGGGATATTTGATTGGAGGATTCAAATCATAATTTAAATCATAGTTCATGATTCGCTATAGTGTTTTCTCTCACAAAAAATACACGTAAATAAAAAATAATTCTAATCACATGATTCTAATCCATGAACCAAACGTCTCCTTAGTTTCTTGCAATTACAGTTTTTACTATTATTTTATTATAGTTTTCATATTTTTTTATTATTCTTACAAGGGCATTTAGGACTTTTCAGTCAAAATTTGCTATTTCCTACCTTTATAAAGACCTGATATGCTCTACTTTTCCCTTTTTGTCGTCCTCAACGGACCGTTTTAGGTTTTTTTTTTTTTTTTTCCTTTTTCCTTTTTTCCTTTTTTCCTTTTTCCCTTTTACGCATCTTTTCTTTTACTCTTTTTTTATTTTATTTTCTTTCGTTCTTTGCTTCATTTGTCTACCGTCTCGTAAAGCTACTTGAATATTTCTTTCCTTTTAACTCAACTATTTTTATAAGTTACATTTAGTGTTTTTTTTTTTTAACTTTTTTCTTTTTACTAATTTTTCCTTTTACTTTTTTGCCCTTTTTTATTTTGCTTTATTATTTTTTCGCTTCATTTGTCTATTGTGGTCTTGTAAAACAGCTCGAATCTTTCTTTCTTTTTAACTCCGACATTTTTATATTTGCATTTTTTAACTCTATCTATCCGCCACTGTCTCTTGGAACCAGTAGTTTTTTTTTATTATTTTATCTCTCTTTTTTTTTCCAGTACTTTACTTCCTTGCTTTTTTCTTTTTCTTCTTTTTTTTTTTTTTTTTTCATTTTTGGCTCAATTTATCTATCCTAATGTCTAACCCCCAATATTTTCATGCCTTTTCCTTTTCTGTTTCTCTTTTGTTTTCTCTCGATTCCAACTTTATCGCTCTCTCTTATATTTTTTTAAACCTCCAATTGTGATCTCTATTCTGACTTCTATTGCGGTTAAATTTTGTTCATTTCTTTCATTTTTTTTTGTATATGTTTACACTTTTTTTTTCGTTTGAATCGAACAACTGAATCAACATTTCACATGGTTTATGAAACATATTATTGTAACTTAATTAAAAAAAATATCTCTTTCCAAAAAATAATCTAAGACAATAATGATACGTAAGGGTTTTAAAAGGATAAAGAATAGAAAAAAGCAGTTTTGAAAAAGAAGAATTTAAAGTAAAAAGTCAAATTATGTCATCAGTTCATTTTTTTTTTTCCTTTTAGAATATATTTTTTGTAAGTATTTGTTTCATACCAATTTTTCCTTGTAAACCCTAACCTGGTATACTTGTGCTACATTTTGTCTAAGAATATTTAATTTATTAACTAGGAGATGGAAACTGTATATATCATAAATATTATAGTTAGAGCTCTAAAAATGGACGTCGATGGCCAAAATAAAGCAAATGCACATCTTTAAAAATTATTTGCAAATAATCTTTTTCTTTAAATCTCTAAGAGCTTGTTTGGTAGAAGGGTTTAAATCTCGATTTAAATAGTTCTATTATAATATTTTCCCAACAAAAATTTAAATTTTCATTTAAACTATCTCGTTTGAATACATGAACCAAACATATATTAAGTAAAATTTTTCTTTCATTTATATTTTAAACATAATCTGTGCTATAAAAGCTTTAAGTACAACTGGATATGTGCAACACACGTACTTCCACTAGTATTAATTAAGAAAAGGTAAGAATTGAAGATAATATAAGAATATAGTTGTTTGATGACTTTAAAATGCACGTACGGTATAAAAATGAAAATAAAACCATTTCATACAATGTATCATATACGTATTTTCATGAGAGTACTACTACTATTGCAAGCTTGAAAAGAGATAGTTGAGAGAAGATGCCAATAAACGGGAAAGTAGGAGTTAGTTCTATGTACAGTAATTTAAAAACAATGGCTAATAAAAAAAGTTATAACTAAAAGCATAAGAATAGGAAAAAGTATTGCACAATTTCAAAAGATTTTAATAAAGAAAATGGGTTGAATTGTAATATTTTTCTCAATCTGGTACGACTATAACTGTGTATCTCAAAACTATTTTAGCTTTTTATTAAAGTTTTTTTTTTTTTTTTTTTTTTTTAAATTTTCATAATTCCTTATCTTAGAATTCTCGATAAGAATAAATTAACAAGAGGGAAAAAGGAAGGCGGTGGGTTCCCACTTCCCACCATAGTGGGCATTGAAGAGAAGCTGAGCATCCTCGTTTCAGAGTCTCTCTCTCTCTCTCTCTCTCTCTCTCTCTCTCTCTCTCTCCTATATAATTCTACTCTCTCCCTCTTCACTCTCTGACGGACTACCCCAAACATATCCAACTCATTTTGCATATATATATATGTGTGTGTATATATATATATATGCATCTATGTATTGAATGAGATGTGTAATGCATAAACCAGAATTTGATTATAGAGCCGAAGCTGACACAATCACTACTACTAATTACTAATATTGATCAGGAAGCTGGTCCTGCTCCGAAGATGTCTGAACCCACCACAACAACCGCTGCCAATACTACCACTGCTGATCCTGTCCTTGCTTATCCTCTTCAACTCAATTCACCATCTCTTCTACAACTCTCCTTGTTCCCCATTACTCTCAAGGTCTTTCTCTCTCTCTCTCTATATGTGTGTGTGTGTGTGTGTCTCAGCATATACATCAAGAATTTCTACAAAAAAAAAAAAATATATATATATATATATAGTACCAGACGTTATATAGCATATTATTTATTTATTTATTTTGCTTATTTGGAGAGAATTTATATATATATATATATTGCTAATAATTATATTAAAAATTGGGTTGGCAGTTTGAGGAGGTGGTGTACAAAGTAAAAGTGGATGAGCTACATGAGAAAGGTGGGTGGTGCTGGGGCAATAATAGTAGTACCAGTGCATCATCATCATCATGGCCCTCCACAAGAGAAAAGAGCATTCTGAATGGGATAACAGGCATGGTTTGCCCAGGAGAGATATTAGCCATGTTGGGCCCATCCGGCAGTGGCAAAACCACACTCCTCACAGCTCTTGGCGGCCGCCTTTCTGGAAAGTTATCTGGGAAAATCACTTACAATGGCCACCCTTTCTCCGGCACCATCAAACGCCGCACCGGATTTGTTGCCCAGGACGACGTCTTGTACCCCCACCTAACCGTCACCGAGACCCTACTCTTCACGGCCATGCTTAGACTCCCTGAGAGCTTGAGCCGTGATGAGAAAGCGGGCCACGTGGATCGCGTGATCACCGAGCTAGGGCTTACCAGATGCCGCCACGGCATGATCGGAGGCCCTTTGTTCCGGGGAATATCGGGAGGGGAGAAGAAGAGGGTGAGCATAGGTCAAGAAATGCTAATAAATCCAAGCTTGTTGCTTCTAGATGAGCCGACGTCGGGTTTAGACTCTACGACGGCTCAGTGGATACTGACCACCTTAAAGAGATTGGCGAGCGGCGGAAGAACTATTGTGACCACCATTCATCAGCCGTCCAGCCGCCTCTACCATATGTTCGACAAAGTAGTCCTTCTCTCCGAGGGATCTCCAATCTACAATGGCCCTGCTTCCACGGCCTTGGACTATTTTTCCGACATTGGTTTCTCCGCTTCCATCACCCTCAACCCCGCCGACCTCTTGCTCGATCTAGCCAACGGTACTTAACTCTTATTCTATATCATAACAAACTCAATCATAATACCATAGGTTCAAAGAGATTAAATAAAACTTATTTTGTTTAAACTCTTTTACTCCTTAACATATTATATTTTTTGCTTTTCTTCTGAATCTGAGTTTGATTTTTACTTCAATTGATCAACAATCATTGTAGGTGTTGGGCCCGATTTTAAATACGCAACAGAGCACAGTGAGAGCATGGAGCAAGAGAAGAAGAAGGTGAGGGAGGCTCTCATTTCTGCTTATGACAAGAATATCTCTGCGAGGTTGAAAGCTCAGCTTTGTACTTCGGAAGCAGCCACCAATAATACCAGTAGTTATGCAAAAAAAGATGCTTCTTCAAGTAAGTTCAGAATTTCTCCTTCCATTACTACTAAAAACCATGTTATATGCATAGAAAGTAGTGATAATCATCGCTGCACTTTTTAAATCAATCACAAATTGGATTCACACTAATTAAGATATTATGATGCCAACCTTGTCAATTTTTAAATGGATAAAAGACTAGTTAGCATTAATAACCTGTATTTTTTTTTTTTTTGAAAAAAAATAACATAACTAATAAATACATATCTATAATATAATTTGCAGGTTATAAAACAGAGAAAGGGGTGGTGAAAGCAGATGAATGGTACACAAGCTGGTGGCACCAGTTCAAAGTGTTGTTGCAAAGAGGAATAAAGGAGAGAAGGTACGAAACATTCAATCGGCTCAGGATTTTCCAAGTCATAAGCGTGGCAGTCCTCGGTGGTCTCCTCTGGTGGCGCACCCCTACTTCTCACATTGAAGACCGCGTAAGAACATAACTTTCTCTCGCTTACCATTTCAATGTCAACTACCGCAACTTTTTTTCTTTCTTTCTCTATTCAATTTATCATCAAAAACTGATATTCATGTCTCACTTAGGAGCACTTTAAAAGTAGTACTACTTTTTTACACATTTGAACATGAATTTTTAAATTAGTTTTTTTTTTTTTTTTCCTTTTGTATTTTAAACTTAGAAGTGCGAGAATTTGAAGTCATGTTAAGATTGAATAATGGGTGTAAAAATTACAGTTAGAACCAATTGCTGCATTAACTTCAAATTATTTTGAACTACTTGAGCACAACTAGCATGACCATTTCAATATCTATTATAAAAATGTGATCGTGACTCACACTTCAACACTTCAAAAGTACTACTTTAATCTATCACACATTTGATGAATTCTTGTTACTAGCTAGCCCTTTTCTTTATGCACCTCATGGTTGTTATAAACGGGTGTGAAATTACCGCTAGAATAAAATTTCAATTATCGCGACTTGTTTTGGTCACACGCACGTAACAATGACATAAATTTAATTGTGGCAGATAGCATTACTCTTGTGAAATTACCGCTAGAATAAAATTTCAATTATCGCGACTTGTTTTAGTCACACGCACGTAACAATGACACATAAATTATTAACTGTGTGGCAGATAGCATTGCTCTTCTTCTTCTCGGTATTTTGGGGATTCTACCCTCTCTACAATGCGGTATTCACATTCCCACAGGAAAGAACAATGCTGATGAAGGAACGCTCCTCCGGAATGTACCGCCTCTCGTCGTATTTCCTCGCGAAAACGATCGGAGACCTGCCTCTGGAGCTGGCCCTCCCGACCGCTTTCGTGTTTATAATCTACTGGATGGGGGGCCTAAAAGCCGACCCCATCACCTTCATCCTCTCCCTCCTCGTCGTCCTCTACAATGTCTTGGTCTCCCAAAGCCTAGGCCTCGCCATCGGCGCCATCCTTATGGACATCAAACAAGCCACCACTTTAGCCTCCGTCACCACACTCGTCTTCCTCATCGCAGGCGGTTACTATGTCCAGCAGATCCCGCCCTTCATTGTGTGGCTCAAGTACTTGAGCTACAGCTACTATTGTTACAAACTCTTGCTTGGTGTCCAATACAACGACGACGATTATTATGAGTGCTCGCCGGGCGTGTGGTGCCCCATCGCCGACTTCCCGGCAGTCAAATCCATGGGGCTGCGCAATTTGTGGATGGATGTGTTCATTATGGCCCTCATGTTGGTTGGTTACCGCTTCCTTGCTTATCTTGCACTCCAGCGAGTACGGTTAAGGTAATTTACATATAATAATAATTCACTCATGACCCGATATTATATTTCATGATCAAGAGTTTTTGTACACTAGCATCTTGTTCCAATCTCAATGAGGACTAATAATCATATCATGCTGTGATCATGATCATCACTACTGAGTTAGTTAGGTGGACTAATTTTGAGTTTTTTTCTTTAACTCTCTCCCTCTATATATATAAACCCTTGATCATGATGGGTTTTATTTTTTATCTAGTAATTTAGATTAATACAATACAACTTGCAAGTTGTGTTGCCTTTGAGAATATTATTCTTTTTAAGTTTTTTTTTTTTTTTTAACTGAATTCTTTTTAAGTTATATTATTCATGATAAGGAGAGAAAAGGAAAAGAACATATGCAGTTCCATTTCTAAACTTTGCAGGTGAGTGGGGAAAAAAAAAAAAGTAAAGCCAATGAGCACATGTTCCTGGAATTGCCTTTTAACTAGTATTTGTGGGGACTTTCCCAACCACATAACATGCACACACAATGTCCATTAACAGTACCACTACTGCCCCTCCAATTGCAACTCCAAGTGCATGCGTCAAATAGTATATTATATATATATATATATATATATATATATATGAAATTGTCTCCAATATGACACCAGACCAGTCCGATAAATCTAACTCTTTTGCTCTAAGATAGCATTTAATCAATATAGTTCAACACATGTAATATTAAGTGTTACACTTGAATAAACTAAGTGTTATACATGTATATGAAATAAATTATATTTGTCAGATTATATAGTTGCCGAATTGAACTAATTTTTAATTTTACCGTTTATATTAATGATTACTATCAAATAATAGAAATGTGATAATATGATAAGAATTTCATCTCATTAATTGTCATATTTTTTTTAGTCAATTGCTCAATTTACTAAAACTGGCAGATTAATATCAGACTGTTAAAAACAATAATATATCTAGACGATGATTTTTCTAATAACGTATCGCCATCGATCATTACAAAGGCGCATGAATACCTTATGCTTGTATATGTATAGTAGAGATAATCAAAAGAGTAAAAGAGAGAACGGCGATTTATTTTTGTTCAAACACACACACACATATATATATATATATATATATATAATCATTCATCTTGTTCAATTTTACGGTAAGTGAAACATTCACTGATTATGTACGATTGCCAAAAAAAAAAAATCACAACGCCCCAGAAATATATATAATTAAGCCAATTGCTTGGTTTAGGATAGTGCGTAAACATCAGAAAAGGAAAGGGCTCACATGCGGGCTGTGGTAGGTATTAAGAGAAAGGCTTGAGTTTCATATACCATGGCCGAAAAGAAAAGTGACATTGATGTAATGCCCATGTGTGGTTATTGTTTTTAATGATTATTTTAATATTTATTCGTTGAAAGTTATTATTATTAATGGTGTGATATTGAACAAAAGATTATAATAAATTAAATAATTAAGAAAAATGAAAACTAATGAGATTAAATATATTTTTATAAGTCACGTGATTAAATTTTTATATTTGGTGTGCAGCCGGCAACGAAAATTAAATATTGAAAACTCATTTACACATATATAGTTTATCACTTGAGGAATATTGACCAGATGATGCAGTGGACATCCACGTCTAATAGATGAGAAAAAAACCTGTCTGATGGGTAGAGAGTACTCGTATTATGCTTATAGGAAATAGGAAAGAAATAAAAAAGGAAAAGGAAGAAAAATGATCAAAATGCTTGCTAGCTAGCTATATAAATAATAAAAAATTATTTTCATAAATACTCCTCAACTATTTACCCTAATTCAAACACCTTCAATATATATATATGTGTATATATAAGATTAAAAATGCCCCCGTCACTAATACAAATCGTGCATTTAACGACGGTTTTTAATCGTCGTTAAAAGATTAGACGACGGTTTGCTGAACTCTCTGTTAACGGTGAAATTCCGCCCACAACCAAGAAAACAAGTTTTAAGCGTGAAACCCAGTCCCAATGAATCAAAATAACAAGAAAACACCAAAATTATAAAGTGCAAACAAGGAAAGATCAAGAACTTTGGATATGATTTTTATTGATGAACGTTTTGGTGCACACTCAAATCCTCACAAACTCTCTGAGTACAATTTTGAAGAGTAACGGCTCAACGATAGAGAATTCGATCCATTCATCACCCCCTCTTAGCTCATATTTATAGACCCTTCTCGTCAGTTCACCGCGTGTCGGCACCACTATCTCACCCACGTTTCATCGTCTCAACCGTCGGCCCTCTCCGTCGTGGGTGTGACCGCGCCACCTTTTCTCGTCTCAAGCCAGATGTCCCTCCACGTAGTAGGTGAGTGCGCGGGTTGAAATTACGAATAAATCGGATATCATGGGTCACTTATGCGATGGTAAGGATTTCCTTCAACGGACGTGGGTTCTTAGCAAGATTTTTGAATGAGAGGCGATGTGGAGAGCCTGGTTTTAGAGACATGAATAGTGTGTTTCCATAACGTGAGAAATGAATGGTCGCTCTAGGGTTTTTCTCTCCTCAGACGGTTTCTCGCTTGCCTTTTTTTTCTCTCTTTTTTTGAATGTCAAACTGTTATTTTAGGTCTGGTGACTCCAAGAGCCAAAATAAAAGGACAAAGATGAGGGCAATTTTGGAACAACGAAAATTTAATGCCCTTGTGGGACCCACATTTCCAATCATCTTCAAACATGGCAAATACTACATTTAGGTCTCGTTCATTTCACCGATTCGAATTTTCAGTTTTAAGTTTCTACAGTAAAAAGTTCTAAAAAAATGTCACATCTAACTTTTTCTCCTACAGTTAAAAGCTCTCAAAAAATGTTACATATTAACTCAAATTAAAAACTCAAATCTACGAAGCGAATGATACCTTAATTTTTAATTTTTTTAATTTTTAATGTTTTAAATTTTTGAAAGTTATTTTATTTTAGTTTTAGATTTTTCGCCCAATTGTTCTTTGAATTTATTGTGATTTTATAAGTTGTCTCTTAAATTTTTGAATTTGACAATCAACCTCTTAAACTTGTAAAATTATTGTAATGTGTCTGATCATATTAAATTTGTTCAAATTTTTTATTAAATTTAAGAGATTAAAAATTGAGAAAATGAAATATTTGTATTACATTTGAATTAAAATATTAGAGTTTTTCGTCGAATTTTTTTTTTGACACTAATTTAATATAATCATAATCAAAATAAAACATATTACAATAATTTTATAAGTTGAAAGGGGTTTAAGTTCCTAAAATCACTCAAATTTAGGGGCAAATGTGTTAAATAATTTTATTTATTTATTTATTTTAATGGAGGAGCTGGAGATTAGAAACGACAAGGCTAGAAGAAAAACGAGGGCGAGGCACTAAGGCGATTAGAAAGAAGCGATATATTTTTGGTGGGCAGACCCGACCCGATCGCGAAGGATTAGGCGGGTTTGAATTGTGAAATTGGGAAATCGGAAAGAGAAAACCAGTAGTTCCAGGCAGAGAGAGAGAGAGAGAGGGCGATGGTGACGGTATTAGACGAGGAAGATCAGAATTTGGCTCACTTCCTCGAATCCCAGGTTCTCTCCCACGTTTCGGACCAGGTACGTTTCCTAAAAGAGAAAAAAAAAACAACCTTGTTTGTTTTTCACATTTCAGAATAATCAGAAATCAAAATTGATTGTGTATTAGGAGGAAGAAGAAGGAGAAGAGGAGCCGAAAGCAAAGAAAAGCCGTCAAGAAGAAGAAGAAGAAGAAGGAGGAAAATCGGGTTCGGGTTCGGGTTCTTCATGGAGGAGAATTGAATCGGGAATTTTCAGTAAAATCCCTCCCGAACTCTTTCCTCACATCCTCAAATTCCTCTCTTCTGAGGTTTCTTTCTTTCTTACTTTTGCATTTTGTTTTTTGTTTTTTTAAATATATATATATATATATATAGATAGATTTTTTGTTATTAAGATTTATTTGTTTGGATTGAAGGATCTGGTTGCATGCGCACATGTTTGTAGATTCTTAAGCAACGCAGCCTCCGATGAATCCCTCTGGCGTCGCTTGTCAGTTTCTTCCAATGTTTTTTACTTCTTTTCTTTCTTCTCAAATTTATTATTATTATTATTGTTGTTGTTGTTGTTGTTGTTACTATTATAATAAAAAGCTCGACTATGCCTCTGTAGGTATTGTATGCGATGGGGTCTTTTGCCTCCTTCAAACAAACTGCGTCAATGTCCTTGGAAAAAGCTTTATATTCAGGTCCTTCTCTCCGTTCTAAAAATAAATAAATTATTCATGTTTAAAATTTTTGTATACAAATTTAACAAGCCAATTGTAGTGCACAATCAATAGCTCGAGTTGTAGCAATAGCTCTTTCTAGTCCGAAACTTGTTTTCATTGCTTCATAATCTAGTGGGAGCTCCTCACCATTTATATAAATATACGTGTTTATACATACATACATATATACATACATATATATATATATATATATATATAAGCAATAGCTCGTTCTACTTACAATTTGGCCTTGGTTCGAGTTAAAGATTATGACGTTGTGGGGAGGATTTTCTTCTTTTGTGTTAGAACTTTGAAACGTGAATTGTATTGTGTTTTCGTGTGTTGCAGCGTGATGAAGAGGACATGGTGGAACTTGTAAGGAATTGTCCGGCTGAGTTTAAAGAGTATTACATCCAAATGCAAGCTGCCAAGAGAAGCCAAGCACCTCTTCCTTCACAGGTTACTGCATGCACTTACTCTTCTGCTCACATTTTTCTTTTTCATTTACATTTTCAATTACATGTTATTCTGTCTTTTTTCCGATCCCTCCCCACACCAACTAATATTATATATAATGTAATGTAATATCCAACTTTAAAGGAACGACGATTGCCTCATGTCTCTCATGCGCAGGTCTTTTCTCTCAATCGTGTACATATAACACCGCATTTATAGGGATACACTTTCTTTAAACTTCAATATTGATTAACACCTTGAGGACAAGGTGTTTCTCTGGGGCGGGCCTTATGTTAGGGCCCTGATAGTTGGCTCTTAGTGAGAGCATTTGTAAGAGGACTCTTTAAATTTTAGCTGAAATAGCTAGAAAGTTATTTTAGCTAGCAATTTTTGGGTTAGTTATTCTAACCATACTTCCTATTTTAGTTGAATATAGATTGTTTTAGTATCTATTAAACTTAAAATATAAATAAGTTTATTGAACCTTGCATTTATTACTGTTTGAAAGAATAAAATAATAGAAAAAATTAAATGGCTAGCCCTTTTTTGCTAGCTATATTTGGCTAATGCAAAATGCATTCTTCGCAATAGTTAACCATTTAGCTAATGGTTGGAGTGGAGAAAAGCTAAAAAAAAGAAGGTTAAATCATTTGCCATTTTGTCTAAAGACATGAAATGACTAGTATGATTGGAGGGATTAAAAAAAAAAAAAGAAAGAAAACCACTTTCGTCTAAACGAAGTGTTAGTTTTCAACACTTTGTTCATTAGAGAAAAGAAAAAATGTTTTAAGTGGGAATAAATTCGAAAAAACTTACTTTAATGAGCAACAAGAAAAAAGTATTTTGAGAATCACTTTTGATGTAGTAATACTTTAAAGAACCAAAAAAAAAATTTAGTTAAGTAGGGACACATTAGAGAAGAATAATGCAACATTAGCATATGAGAAAAGTGATTTTTATGGAAAAGTATTGGATGAGAAGGCCACGAAAAAGAAAAAAATTCAAGTAGGTTATTCAAAATGTAATCTATAAAGAAGGGCGGAAGATTTGCCTTTAATGTAGGTTATTCAATCCACTTGCTCAAGAGTTGAAACTTTTCCACTCTTCTAAAAAATTCAATAATGATTGACCAACAAAAACGCCTGTATTTGCACATAAGTCTTTTGCTGGTAGGTGTCAAATTCTTAATTACTACCTTTAATAAAGTTCAGAGTTTCCTAACAAAAATTAAAAAAAAAAAGGCAATAAATAGGAGAATTCATTTCCTAAAGAATTATGCAGTTGCACCATATACTCAGTCTGGTCAATCCACATATGTAAAATGCAGTCGTCTTTTGTCCAGGTTCTACTCTATGGTGCAAATAGCATCTTCACTTTTGCACTAGGAATTTCCAATCATGGGAAAAGAACGATCTAATTTTTTTTTTTCCTCGTGTTTAAGGTGGTGATTGATGACCGCATAATCCTTGACAAGACAGTAGCTGATCAAGTGTCTATGTGGAAAAGCAGTAGAGGACTGACTGATAATGTAGTTATGGATCATGCTTGTTCTGGAGAAACGTGTTCTTACTATCAAATTGGAGATGTATTTGTTTGCGAGAAGACCGGACATGTTCATGGTACGAGTCTCTAGAGAAGAATATGTACACATCATTTCTGTCAATGGCCTTCTGTTAATACTCATGACGAAGAAACTTTGGCGCTTAATTTTCTATGTTTATGTTTGCTTTCTCGATTTCTAGTTTGTGATGATACATGCCGAGAAGCTGTTATGGATCCGACGAACGAGGTTTTAGTGTGTACAATATCCGGGCATTGTTTCGACGGGTTACTCTCACCAGCTGAAATGGAGCCGGATGTTGTGAGTGAATTTCCGCTTGCTAACAATTTGATTAAATTCCATTTTATTCCCTTTGAAAAGTTAAAAAGTAGTTGTAGGATTTTTGTCATTATGAGTGAGAAGCATTTTATAAATCATCAACAGTAGCTATATATACAAAAACCATGCATGAACTAGAAAGGTAGTAATTTTCTTATTGATAGTTGGTTGTTCTTTCCGTTGCAAAACTTCAGGAACAGCAACAAGGTGGTGGTACAGATGAGGCGGAACCATTTATGGGATCCGGCCGCTTTGGTATCTCTTTTTTTTCACTCTATTTTATGAGAGCAACTTATTTCCTTAAAATGTACGAGTGATTGTGTTTAGATCTCATGAAATGTTGTCCATGTGAACTTTGCAGCCAGAGCGTACTTGTTGGGATATAATTGTGCTGATGAGAAGGAGCTCGAAGCTGCTTTGAGGTTTTGCTGAATCCCAAAAAGAGAACCAAGCAACAAGAAATGTCGTTTATTATTTTGTTTAGGAATAATGTTCAATTCAGACAACTATGTATGTAATTTATATATCTAAAAATAGATATGATAGGCGTACTTGTTAATATCCCAAAAAAAAAGGAAAAAAGAAAAGCCTACTTCGTTCGGTACTTTTGTCGCTTAGATTTATGTATGGTTTGTATTTTGTAATTGTATCCAAGTTTTTCAATTTCTTTTTCTTTCTTATATTACTCTACTTTTTTTTCCTAATACAAGAATGTTTCCTTACAAATTATATGTATAAAATATTTTCTAAAAATGTATCAGTGCACAAATGCAGCGGGTTCAGCGTGCTGTGAGTCGGGAAAACCCAAACCCGCACCCACTTTGAACATGAGATGTGATTTCTAATACGACCTGAACCCATGCTGATCCGGGTTTAACTCGCCACACTAGGGTCGTGTCCAACTCATTCATAAACCAAATGTCTGGTGGGAAAACGTTTGGTTCATAGATTTAGAATCATGATTCATAACCATTCTCAATTTATGTGTTTTTTTTATGAGAAAAAACACTGTAACAATCCACGAATTATAATTCGAATTATGGCACGAATCTTCATATCAAACATCCTAAAGTGATCTCTATCATCTGCAGGTGCCACACTTTGAATTAATTTCAAAAGCTGTTGCCATTTGATATCAGACTAGAAAGAATGTCCATCCAAGAAAACAGTCAAAAACACCTTTTTGAAGAAAGACCTGCGAGTTTTTAAAGTACCAAATAAACTACCAAAACTATAGAGAGATAAGTGATGCAGATCACAATTAGAAGTTTTTTAAAATTCTTCTCTTCTTCATCAGCTTCTCTCTCTATTCTTCTATTTCTCCCCCTAATTCCCTTAATCATCCTGGTCCACATCTATAAGCTTACTACTAAGTATAGATAAAATTAGTGACGAAGTCAGCATTTTTATATCAAAAGTGCTAATAACTACAATAGATATTTATTCTTGACAGGTTTCGTGTCTTAAAATAGTACGTATTTTACTTTATTATCAAAGTAATTGGAAATGTCTTTATCGATGGACACAAGTAATTTTCATTGATAGTATAGTTGATTGTTGATTTGTAAATTAGAAAAAATATTATATTGTTTTGTTTAAACTAAAGCAAACAAAATGGATTACAATCGAGAACAAAAGGAATAGACAAATTACAATCATGTTTAATTGATTAGAAGTTCTAGTGCTACTATACTAAAAATTTAGAGTTGCACTGTCGATCAATACAGTATATTTATAAAACTGTAATTAGCTCTTGTCCATAATTTTATTATATTATGTGTTATCCCTATATGATATTTATAATCGACTTGATGTTAAGTTCCGTTTTACCTTTCTAATTATATTTATCTTATGTTTTATTATCACTCCATCAGAAAACTACTATTCATATCAATACAAATAGTAAACCATTAGATAACACAAACCAGTATAATGGTAGAGTGCTTATGTTTTCCAATCCCCAGATAATTCCATAAAATGATATTATTAACTCTTTTAATAAGAGCTATGGATTCATTATTTATGAGTAATAAAACTATGCATACAAGAGTCATACCCCCAATGTACCGATAATAGTACCTTTACACAATATCAAGATGTATCCCTTTAGCACATCAAAAGGCACAAGTCAAGTATACGGGTTTAAGATGATAACATATGATTAATAAAAAATGAATTGTTTTATTTAAACAGAATTATTAATTAAAACAATTCAATTTTGGTCCGAAACAATAAAGATTCCACCATTAAGAACTATATTAATGTCTCTACCCATGGAGCCTCACATCTGACGACCAAGACAAACCGTCTCCATTAAGAAGTAGACAACGTAATAATTTTAATATGAATAAAGTGCCCAACTTTATTCAATCGATTGCGGATCATATTATTTAGAGCATTTTTTGACCTTTTTTTTTGTCCTTAAATTTTATTTTCCTTTCGTTATTATTCGTTTTGCCTTAAAACTTATTTATCTCTTCATTTTAGGCTTTTTTTTGACTCATTTTTTTAATTTTCTTATTATTTCTTTATTTTAGTGTTTTTTAATCTTTTTTGGCTACTTCCCCTAAAACTTTATTTTTTTTAATTTTAGTCTCTTTTTGGGATTTTGTATTCATATGTTGTATATTTTTAATAGTAATAGGGTAAATAAAGCTTAATATAGATTACTCTCCACGTGCATAACACGTGTTTGTTATGTCTTCATTTTAATCTATTTTTGATTATTTTTGTATTTTTTATTATTTCTTCACTTTAGTCTCTTTTTTTTTTTTTTTGGCTAATAACCTTAAACTTTGTTTTTTTTTAAAATTTTAGTTTCCTTTTTGAGATTTTGTATTCATTTTTTCTACACTTTTAATAGTAACGCGGTAATTAAAACTTATATACGAATTATTCCCCAATTGCATGTTCTTCAACTAATCAAATATAAAAAGAGCATGTTAACTTATTTGGACCCTAACTAAGATTTATTGCTCATCGTTAGATTATATCCTACTGATAGGGAAAAGTAGTTGTGCCCTACGGTAGAATCTTTCTCAATAATAATAATAAAGGTTTTTGGCATAACTTCAGTAAATTACTCCTAAATTTTTAATTTTAATAAGTTATTCTCGAGTTTATAAATTTGTTACAATGCTCTATTTAACTTAAATTTACTTAAATTTTTTATTAGATTTAAGGGACTAAAAGTTGATATATTGAAATATTTTATATTACATTTAAATTGAAATATTAAATTTTTTTACTATACATGTTTTTTTAACACTAATTTAACACAATTGTCATTGAAATAAGACATTATAATAAGGGGTTGTTCTTTTGCATTTTTGAGTTAGAGTGACTTGAGTGATGATCTTAAGTTGAGTTTGAGTTATAACTTGAGTTGAAATTGTAACTTGAGTTTGTGTTTAGATGTGCACATTATTATGATTTGAATTGAGAATCTTTTCGAGTTTGTGTTTGAATGAGTCAAAACTTAAATTTGTATTTAGATAGTATTTTAATAAAAACTCAATGGTGATGAAAAATTTTAATAGGGTATATGAGTGGAATTTTATTCATTTTTTCGTTGTGAATGCATAGAAAAAAATCATCTCAATCAAAATTAAAACGAAAAAGTTATGATATTTTTAAGAATAAAAAAAACATTGTTCATTAATTTGAGTTCGAGTTTATGAACTCGAATTAAAAGAGAAATTTGAACTCGAGATTTAGTTCCAAACTCAAATTTTAAACTCGAGTTTAAACTCAAATTTTATAAAAAAATATAAACTTAATAAAGTTATAACTCGAGTTTAAATTTTTTTAAAATTTTATTATAAAAGAACAATCCTTTATAAGTTAAAGAGTAACTTGTCAAAATTAAAAGAACAATCCCTTATAGCAATTTATTAAACCTACGACGCAAATATTCTAAAAACCTAATAACAACAACGGAGCTAAACCCTAAACCCTAACTTGTATCTTCAGCCTCTGTTTGTGTGAACTCTCCCAAGTATTTGGGCGTTCCGAAAGAAGGGAAAG